AGAAGGCTGGCGGTTCAAACCCACCAGCCACTCCTCGGAAGGAAGGTTGGGCAATCCTACTTCTGTAGTGATACTGCCTCGGAAACCCATGGAGGGGTCGCTATGAGTTGGGGCCGACTCGACGGCAAATAACAACAACAACAACAATATTTATATTCATATATCCTCTCTTTAGTCTCTTCCTCCCAACTTAGGCCTGCATTTATTCCTTTGTTTCCTACCTACTATCCACCCATGGGCCAAGCCAGAAACCTGATCATCATCTTTGAATCCTTCTACTTGTCTCTCACATTCAATTAATAATCAAATCTGGCCAAGTCTCTTCTTGTGGATTGAATCATGTGGGCCCAGAATATATATTGAAGTCCTGGACTCTGTACTCATGGGTGTAATCCTATTTGGAAATAGGGTTGTTCTTTTGTTATATTAATGAGGTCATACCAGAGTAGGGTGAGTCCTAAACCTAATTACTTCTAAATTATAAAAAGAGCAGAATACATAGAAACACACACAAGGGGAAAACAGACGCTATATGAAGACTCATCTACAAGCAAAAGAACACTAAGGATTGCCGACAGATGCCAGAAATTAGGAGAGAAGCCCACAGAAAGAAAAGACATAACCAAGACTTTGATTTGGAGTTTTAGCCTCTAGAATTATGATAAATTAAGTTTATCTTTAAAAAAAAAAAACCACAAAACTACCCACTTCTGGCATTTTTGTTAAGTAATACATCTCTCTACTATCTTTTTCAAAAACAGCTTTATTGAGATATAATTCACATACTGTTCTGGTTACCTAGTGCCGCTCTGACAAGAAATATACCACAAATGGGACGATCTTAACAAACAGGAGTTTATTCTTACAATTTGGAGGCCTTAAGTCCAAGTTCAAAGTACCAGGCTCTAGGGGCTGGGTGAAAGCCCCTCAACTTTGGGGTCCAGCTCTGCCTCCTGCTCCCAGCCCACTGGAGCTAGAGGCATTTCTTCACTCAGACAGCTACTGGCTGCTGAGCCTGAGAAGCCCCAAGGTTGACAAGTAAAAAAGCACACTCCTGATGTTACCAAACCACATGGCAGGCTATTAACTTAAGTCCATTGTAAGTCCCAACGTCGGCAGAGCATAGCAGGCTGCTGAGCAATGACATGGCTACATGTAGGGTCCAAGCGTGCCATAGGCTAGAGACCATTCCCAAAACTGCTGCTTATATACAGGAAGAAGACCACATAACCAAAGGCAGCTACTCAGCTGCTCACAGTAGATTCCACCATGGAGTTGATTACCAGTCTCATTATGGGAAATACTATATCCAGCTGCCCAGCCACTCAACCAGGCCCAGCCAAGTTGACACAAAAACACAACCACCACACATACCATAATATTTACGCAGTTAAATTGTTTAATTCAATGATTGTTAGTATGTTTGAAAGAGAGGTGAAAACATTGACAAAGTCAATTTTAGAATACTTTCAACATCTCAAAAGGAAACTCTGTGTTTTTAGCTATCACACTCATAACTCCATCCCACCCCATGCTCCTCAGGTCTAAGCAACCATAATATGTTTTCTGTCTCTATATTTCCCTATTCTAGACATTATATATGAATGAAATAATGTAATATGTGATATTTTGTCATTGGCTTCTTTTACTTAGCATATTTTCAAGATTTATCCATGTTATAGCATGTATCAGGACTTCATTTCCTTTTTTAACTGAATCATATTTTATGGATATACCATGTCTAGTTTATCTATTCATAAATTATTGGACATTCGGGTTGTTTCTACATTTTGACTATTATTGATAATGCTGCTATAACCATACCTATACAAGTTTCTGTGTGAACATACAATTTTTCTTATCTTGGATACATACCTAGGAATGGATTTCCTATGCCATATGATAACTCTAGGAGCTCTGGTAACATACTGCCTAAGGCACTTGACTG